ATTATCTGTGACTACCAGTGTTAAACAGTCCTTGTTGTTGGGACTGTAACCTTTTCTGGAGCTATTTGACTTTTTCATGGTTTCCTGTGTTCACTCTTTTCTGTACACAAGTATATAGTTGTACTTTAAAAACACACATATACTTATACAAATAATTTTAAATAATTAAAACCCACTTATATGAACATTTCACTACTTATTAAAATAAATAAAAATGCCATTTTTATATCACAATTACTTTTGAACATCTTTGCAACCAACACTTCTCTTTTCAGTGACATAATGAATTTTACCTTTTACGCCTTCAACGATTCTAGTTAATTATAATCATTATTGTATGTTTGTTTGCTTTGGATGTTTCAGTTATCACAGCCTTGTGAGTAGCCCTTTCAGCTGGATTTATTATCTTTTCAGCACGTCACCTGTCATCCTAGAAAGAGTTCTTTCTGATCTTCAATAACCACAAGATGTATGATCACCATCTTAATTTTTCTGCCCTAAGACATGAAGTCAGGTACCTTGCAAGGAATCCTGGTTCCTGTGAGTGTGATCAGAAAGTCCAATCTGTGCTTCATGAGTGCTCATGATGGCATGTGCTTGCAAGAGCTGCTGCTGCTGCAGGTGGAGTTCTTTTGGTGGCAGAGATGGGAAACCCTTTCGAGGAGTATGAGCTTATGTCAGACTTTTTTCCAAAATTAAAAATTCTAAATATGTTTTCACACTGTATTGACAAAATGAGTCAAATTTCACAAATGGGTTTTGTAAACCAGGGTTTGTTTCTATCTATTCTTGTATCACTATTCTCTGAGATGAGCTATGGTGGAATATATGGTTTTGGTCTGCCCAGTAGCCCTTTCCCTTTCTTTGTTAATAGCACTACAGTTTTTTCCCCCTGGGGACTTATCTTCCCTCCTTTCATGCTATTTCTGGTGGAATGGTCATATGCACCATCCCCACTCTTCTCAGACACTATCCTACCTTTCCAGAATGTTAAATCTTCAGTGAGTAGACGTTAACATGAAGCACTGGGTCCTTCCAATAGCTGTCCCCTGAAGAGTCTGTTAATTCTTATTTCCTAATTTTCTGGAGTAGCTCTGATTTTATCCTTTCAGGGTCTGATTGGTCACTTTTTCTTTAGATTCTATAATATATGTTGTTATTATTATTAATGATGATAATTATTATTATTCCTTTGCTTAAGTTAACCAGAGTCCATTTCTGTCACCTGCCACCAAATAATCCTAACTGAGACATTCATTTATGTGAGTGCGTATGTGGCTTGTCAGTAGCTTATACCATAACCATGGTAGGTGATTTTGAAAATCATTTATGTGATGACATGATCAGTGCATTTAAAGAAGAATTTAGTCAGTGACAAGAGTAGGGCAAAAAACATGGGTCATTTTTATTCACGAAACAGGGTGCCTTTTTTGTTTTTCTATGTGTTTTATGTATTTATATGTACAATAATTCTCAGAATTATTTATTTTTATGTGAAAAGGACAGATTTCTCATAATTTGTCATTTTCAGAAAGAGAAAGCACAAGGCCATCGTTATGGGAAAGGTCCACATACCTTCAGCACCCTGGCCCGAAGGTTATCTGAGGTTGCCTATCATGTATTGTGTGCCATAATTCCTCAGTCTCTGTCTTCAAAGGGAGAGGGCCAGAAGTACTTTTGGGTTGTTTATTCTGATGTCTTGGGACAGACAATGGCTTTAGCCGTCAAGTGGTTGAACTTGTTTGTGTTGAACTGTACGACTCCTATCAGCAAGGGTGTTGTGTTTTCCCCATCTGTGAAGTGCTATTCTCATTTACTGTGATTAGTAAATAATAATAACTGATCTTGAGTTTTGCTGGGCTAAAGTGCTAGGTAAGCAATAAATAATAGTAATGACTCTATGAGATCACTGTCTAGGTTGGGTGCCTTCTGCATTCTTTAACACTCCATTGTTGGCTCAGTTTTTCATTTTCACCTGGCTTGATCTTTGAGTCATGTATAGTCAGTGATTCTAAAGCATAGCTACAGTGGTAGCTACCATTTATTGAGTGTAATATGCCAGGCACTGTACTAGGTGTTTTGTAAAAAGTGGATTCTATCTTGGGTAGATATTTTATTAACATTTATAAACAGGGAGTTCATATTCAAAGTTTCATATTTGATAAAGTTTTCTCTACCCTACTTTTTGACAATTTATTCAAAGGAAGTATGTCTTAGCCCTGCATACTTGTACAGAGATTTCAAAATATCTCTATGCTTCTCTAATATCTGCATGCTTGCTGAAGCTTAGAACTAAACCAATAGTAAATGTGAATTATTTTTACAGAAGCCTAGTTACTTGAGTTTTTCTCTTTCCTGTAACTTCTGATTCCACTATTGTCTCCCCAAATTCTTCCTTTTCATTATTTATGAGTAATATGGGAGAGATAAGACAAAATATGAAAAGGTTGGGAATTATAGTCCCAAGAATTAGGTGCATCCATCCTTGAAAAATTCAACTTAATCTTCTTATATTTCATTATAGTCACAAAATATTGGACTTGGACAGTATCATTTTTCTTGAGTCCTCACAGTTTATTTAATGCCTTAGGTCTTACAGCTTGTAAGTAGTGGTTCCAATTCTAAAACTTGAGTTTTCTTACTTGATCTAGAGCTCTTTCTTCCAGGTAACTTTGGCCAGCCTTTCCAAGGGCCTGGAGAAGAGTCACCCAAACACATGTCATACCGATTACTGATTTAAATAAACACTTTGTTATTTATGTAGGTGAGTGACCATATTCTCTTCTTGATAGAGAAGTCTACTTGGCAAACCAAATAAAAGCTTTGGTAAATAATGGGATAAAAGCAAGACATTGCCTACTTAGCCCTTGTTTCAATCATTTTCAAATCCCAAGCTCTTTGTCTTCTTATTCTTTTGTCATATCTAGCGTCCGACACCTTTTCCAAGCCAGATATCTGAAAATCCTTCCAAAAATTTCCCTGTTTTTTATTTCCTTTTGTCAATCAGTCATCAAATCTTGCCAAAAATATCATTTGAATATGATAATTTTTCTTCCTTCCTATTGCAACTACCACAGGTCAAGTCACCATTATTTCTGCACCTCAGTGGTGGGATTACTGTAACAATATTCTGGCTGTACCTAATGTCTCATGCAATCTATGCATCACTAGACCTCTTAGAGCCATAGGCTTTGAGGGATGATTTGTGGTCATAGAGGAGTATAGAGGAGAATGAGGTTGAGTGACAATTGGTGGCCACAGATCTGGATGAGAGAACATCTATGAGGGAAAAGTTCATCTGTGAGGGGTGGTTTATTTTAGTGCTACACTAAAGTTGTTATGGGACTCTTTGAACCAAGGGTGAAATATTAAATCATTCAGCAGAAAATGGAGCTACCTTTGGACTCCAGGCCTAACAGAATAGTGCATCACACTGTGGAGGCTAGGTGAAGGTATAAATTTTCAAAAGAAGACAGAATAAAGGCCAACAAACATATGAAAAAATGCTCAACATCTCTAATCATCAGGGAAATGCAAATCAAAACTGCAATGAGATATCACTTATCTCCAGTAAGAATGGCCTTTATCAAAAAGTCCCCAAACAATAAATGTTGGCATGGATGTGGAGAGATAGGAACACTCTTACATTGCTGGTGGGACTGCAAACTGGTTCAGCCTCTGTGGAAAGCAATATGGAGATACCTTAAAGCGATACAAGTAGATCTAGCATTTGATCCAGCAGTTCCACTACTGGGCATCTACCCAAAAGATCAAATGACACTCTACAAATGGGACACCTGCACTCGAATGTTTATAGCAGCACAGTTCACAATCACAAAGGTGTGGAAACAACCCAGATGCCCATCAATACATGAGTGGATTAATAAAATGTGGTATATGTATACCATGGAGTACTACTCAGCTTTAAGAAACAATGATGATATAGCACCTCTTGTACTTTCCAGGATAGAGCTGGAACCCATTCTACTAAGTGATGTATCTCAAGAATGGAAAAACAAGCACCACATTTACTCACCAGCAAATTGATATTAACAGATCAACACTTAAGTGGACATATAGAATAACATTTATCGGTGTCAGATGGGTGGGAGGGGGGAGGGGGCAGGGGGCATGGGCAATATATGTAACCTTAACATTTGTACCCCCATCATATGCTGAGATTAAAAAAAAGATAACTATAGGTGGTCAGCAATGTGTGAGGAGAAAAGAGTAAGATGAAGTTGGAGAAGTAAGATGGTTACTTTCCCAACATTTACCTGTTCTAAATAGGATGTGTATGTAAAACTGTAGAAAGGCTATATTCTTCTTCACATGGTATCAAAGTCTTCTCAGGTTAAGCATTGACTCAGAGAGCCTGGGCCAGTGTAGACATTTAGGAATCAAAGACTAGAAGCCTGAGTATAAGTTCTATGAGCTTAGTAATGCTCTTTGGCCACATCTTTTCTTTAGCTAGAGATTTGAAAGTGGCCAATGTTATGCCCAAACAGGTTGGGTCATGCCTATTTTGGACTTTTCAAAGGCAGAATAAAAGATAAGTAACAAAGTTACAGATAGCCAGATTAGATGAGATTTTTTTAAAAGATAAAATGAAAGAAGGCTGCTTTACATAAAAAAGACCTTGTTAGCAGAGAGATTGGCCACCATAAGTGAAACTGAATATTAGATGGAATCCACAAGTCTGAGTCTGATGGTTTTTGCTAAATCACTATAGGATTCTATTTACCCAGAGTGCTAGTTCATTGTGTAGTAGACGGGTCTTGGGGGACAAGCATAAACAGTGGATTCCCTATCAAATAGCACACTTAGCCTGGGAGAGAAATGTTATGGGTCTCTCATAGCCAGGATGAACAGTGTTTCATTGAAAACGTTCTCACTCTAAACTCACAGGGATCCTGATTTCTAAATTGGTTTCAATTAAATATATTTTTTCCCTTCAAAGAAAACAACATACACCTTTAATCTCTTCTAACTATTGGCAGATCTGTGATGCTATAGCACTCCACACCTTCCCAGTGGCTGCAATTACACACATCAAGTTTCAGAATGGATGACAAGGTAAGATTCTGGAGGTAAAAGGCTACCACTTATGGTCCCTATTTTGCTCTCATGTGTCACAGCCTTTTATTGTCAGGAGTTATTTAGAGAAACAGTCACCGGCTAACAAAACCATCTGTTAGTTAACAACAGCAAAATATGAGGCTATTTCAAATGGCATGGGGCATTTCAAGTTAAGGGGAGAGGGGTGCCAACTATTTTTTCCCTTCAGTCTTTCCTTGTTAAAGAAGAATGCATTTGTTATCAAAGCCAGTTTGGCTAATGTGCTTTCACCTCATACATATCTAGAAATCAAAGCTGCCCAGAAAGTTATTTGAGGGTATGTTCTCCCTTTGGAGCCCATCTTGCTCCAGTCATGCTAATAGGAATTTCATGTGCGCATCAAGAAAACAATATAGCCTTTATGCAATTCAACCAACACGTCCTACTCAGAACATGGTAGATGTTAGGAGAGCAAAAACGGTCTCATTAGACAGATTTGGTAAAATCCTTCACCTTTGTGCTTTTTGTACTACTCCATTACTTTTCCCAGCCGGGGATGGAGGGGTGGTAGATGAAGAATCTCTGTGCCCCTCCTTTTCCCTCAGCCAGATAGTTTCCCAAATCAGCTAAATATAACTCCATTTATTGTCATGCTAAAACGTTCTATTTAGCTGTGTTTAACTGGATATCATGATTCCATGGGCTGACCTTTCGCTCCTGGGAAGTCGTTTTAAATTCAATCCCCAGCAAAGGAAAATCCTTCCAATTCGTTGGCTGTGAAAGGTCACAAGTGAGATGTGTTTTGATGGTATCTGCCCATGGCTTAATTCTCAGTAAACCTGAGCACTAACTGGGCCTCAATTGTCTTTTGTCTTGGGAATCTGAGTTCTAAGAAGCCTGGGAGAGCTGAGTGGGAGACATGGGCTGAGTTGCTGGCATCGGGCAAGGGCACACAAAGGTACCAGCTGAAAGGTGAGGTTTATGGTGCTAAGTTAGGTCAATGCTGCCTCCTTTCTGAGCTGATGGGGGATTCAGACAAAATATATAGTTTCTCTCCTTGTTTCATTTGATCTCTTTAAGAGGGACATTTCCCACTTTCTGGGAGGCAGAGAGGGCTTAGGTGAGGTAGGGAAGGAACTAGAAGTGTGTGAACCAGTCAAGAGGAAATTGGAGTATCCTGAGCATTTGGCTATTTCAAGACCCAGAGCATAAACTCAGTGTCCCAAGTTTGAATATTTCCGTCTCAGGACCTTTTTCTTTCTCTTCATGGTTCAGCAGCACTTCAGTCTATTCTGTGCTCCTCACCATCATCACCAGGCTACTTTTTAACTGAATTAAAATACTTTCATTAAATCTTATCAAAGCACCTCGCCTCTTTAAAACAAATCATGTTTTAGCAAGCAATGTTAGGATTTTGTCAGAGATTTTTAAACAGTTTAGTGGATGAGATATTGGATAAGATTCTGGACTTTTAAAATTTTACTCTATTACAACTTTTTAGTGACTCTATGCCATAATATTTCAATCAACAAGTATATTATTTGGCTCCTTTCTGATTTAGAAAGAAACTGAGAAAGCACTCTGTCCTTTCCACCACTTCATTCCTCTATTATGAACATAAACCACACTCTAATCTAGCAAGTATTCAATGTTTCCTGAAAACAACTTGGAATTTTATTCTTCCATGTATATGTTTCTGTTGCTTCCTCTTCCTGGGACATCTTCATTTTCTCATCAAAGTTCCATTCATGCATAAAGACCAAAATGTCACTTCTTTCTGGAAAGGCTTCAAATGCCTTCTCCTCCCCACCTGTGGAGAAGGCAAGCACAGCTTCCATAGTACTTTGTCTGTGTAACTATTATACCTTATTTGGTTGTGGTACATTTATCTGTCTCCCACCCAACCCAGCTCCTTGAGGGCAGAAGCTAGGCCTTCTTCACCTTTAAACCCCTGTATTTAGCTCATGGATTACTCCAAGAAAGGAAGATTTTAGCCTTCCTATCACAGAAATATAAGCAGTTAGACTTTTGATACCAAGCTTTTTAATGCTAATGAAAGAAAATAAAATGATGTTTCTCCTATCAAATGTTTCTTGAAAGTTCATAGCAGCCAAAGAAATAAGCAGAAAGCAAGGCATTCATTCTCTAATAGCAGTAAGGGTAGCTCTTTGGTAATAAAGAGAATACTCTATCTTTCCCCTTTTCTTTGTGTTGTCAGTTTTTCTCGGAAATACCTGGTTTTGGAGACAACTTGTAGAATGTTAACCGAGAGTACCAGTGGGGAGAAATGGCGGTGGCTCTGAAGGGTAAGTGGAAGCTTACTTGGTCTCATTCTCCAGGTTCTCATTTTCTTCTCTCCTCCTGAGTCTTCCACCCAGCAGACTGCAGGCTAGCTGTGATTCCTGAGGCTTCTGGAGAGGAGAAAAAAGTATACGATATGGAGATGCTGAGTTAAGCCATGTGCTGCAAAAACAGAATTTGGTGATCAAGGCAAAGTTGATAGAAAAGCCACATGCCCTGTCTCATTTACCATTAATGAGAGATGGTACTCAGTGACCCAGAGGGTGATCCTAGGTGTTGATGTCAATCTCAAATCATGGCAGTCTCTGTCCCTCTTCAGGGGACAGATGCTATTCAGATGTTAGTCTAACCCAGTGTATGTGTCAGGACTGTTGGTTGCAAGAATCCAGTATGGCTGGTAGAAACAGAAAAGCCCCTCAATCTCCTGGTGGGTCAGGGACTCTAACTTAGGTGCTATACAATCAGTAACAATGACCAACTATAAAAAAGTCTCTGCTTGATTTTCTGCCATACTGCTTTTGTCTTGACAAAGGTCAGTGTACCTTGCTTGTGATAGGTAGGCATAAAAATAGAGAGCTGTCAATGTAGATTTTCAAATTAAAAGAAATTCATGCCATCTGGTTTTTAGATATGCTGTGAGCTCCTCAGAGGCTGGCATCATATCTTAAACATTAATCATCACTGTATTCCCAATATTTAGTATAGCATTTGACACATAGTAGGCATGTAATTCATTATTGTTGAATGAATGAGTGAATGAGTGAAGGCGAGTTGCTTAAAAGCCAGTAGTGTATTTCAGCATTGCAGATTCATCATTCTTTCATTTAGCAACATTTTTTGAGAAGTTGCTTTTATGTGAAAAGCACTCTACTGGATACCATGGGAATCTGAAATAGCCCTAATGCTATTATACTAATAATTACAACAACTACTAATAATTACAACCACACAACAATAGCCAACATATATTGTATACTCACTAGATGACAAACACTGTGCTAACTGCTTCATGAGCATTCATTTAGTTCTCACAACTTTGTGAGGCAAGCATGCTATTAAGATTTTCATTTATAAGGAAAGAACTGATTTTCAGAAAGGCTTAGTAAATGAAACCAAGTTGGGGATATGATGTTTATGCAGTAAAGTTAGGGAGATACAGGAGTCATCTGAAATGTCTTAAATATCACAAGACAATACATTTGCAGTACTCAAATTTCATTCAAAGAGTCCCTGAGTGCAAAATGGATACAGCTGAGGAATCAGAACCTATCTGGTAACTTTTGTGTAACCTGTATATTAGCACTAAAGAACTCTGCTTTATTCATTCATTCATTCAACAAACATGAATGGCATGCCTGTCATGTGCCAGGAACTGAACTAAGCATTGAGGGCAGTTTGGGGAGAACTGGAAGAAGCCAGACAAATATGTAAATAGATAATTGCCATTCATAAAATAAGTACTATAATAGAGGTGGAAACATATTTCAAAGGAATATTTTCAACAATTTGCCATTAAGTATGTCACTTGCAGTGGGTGTTTGTGGTTATCTCTGTTAGGTTAAGAAAGGTCCTTTTATTTCTAGTTTGCTAAGAGTCAGGGTTTTTTTTCCCAAATCATGAATGGATGTTGCATTTATTTCCAATGTTTTTTCTATATCTTATCAAATTTTTTTTTTGTCTATGGAGATTATTTTTCTTCTTTTATTTATTAATGTGGATACTTATATTATCTGTAATGTAATATTTCCTAATATTAAAACAACGTCGCATTTTGGGGATATACCATACTGTTTTAGACCTATTTATATTCTCTTTCCTGTTTATTTATTCTTCATACAGTCTTGTTAAGTTGTGTATTTGTAGGAATTTATCTATTTCATCTAAAATTTTAAATGTGTTGGCATAGGGTTATTCACATTATTAATTTATTATTTTTAATTTATATAGCATCTGTAGTTATGGCCTCTTCATTTTTAATATTATTTATTTAATCTTTCTTTTTTCTTAACATTATAAAAAATTTCTCAAAGTATTTTGTTTGTACAAATTTAAAGGATACAAATGAAACTTTGTTGGATGGATATATTGTATAGTGGTGAAGTCTGGGCTTTTAGTGTATCCATCACTTGAATAATCTATATTGTGCCCATTAAATAATTTCTCATCCTCCACCCTCACCAGTCTTCAACATCTATCATTTCACACTCTCTGTCTATATTTACACATATTTGACTTTCTTTTTCTGAGTAAACTTCTCCATTTTATTAGTTGTTTTCATGACCCTATTTTGGCTTTGTTTAACTATAATTATTTTCTAATTTCATGATAAACAGGTGTTTTTTTTTTGTCTTTCTTTTTTTTCTACTGTAAGAATGCAAAGCTATACATTTCCTTCCAAGAAATGCCTTAGCTGCATCCTTCAAGTTTTGATATGTTTATTTTTTATATGTAGTTTATTCAAAATATTATACAATAATCTAATTTCTATTATGATTTATTTTTGCCATTAGTTATTTAAAATAAGTTTTAAATTTTCCAATGAAATAGATTTTTTATTTTGTTCTTTTTGAAATGTTATCTTTATTATATTGTGGGCTGAGAATGTGACCTACAGAGAGTTTTTGAAATTTGACTTGCTTTATAGTATAATGCATGGTTAATATTTGTAAATAGCCCTTGTATGTTTGACAATGAGTTGGATGCAGTGTTCTACAATATATCCTTTAGGTCAGGTGTGTTATTTGTGTTGTTCAAATCTATATCTTTGCTGTTCTTGGTTTGCTTGATCTGTCCATTACTGAGGGAAATGTATGCACATATAAATTTCTCTTAACTGGTATCTCAATTTTGTATTAGTATATTTTGAAGCCATAACACATATTTTAAACTTTTAGAAATTTAAAATTGTTATGTGTTCCTTGTGAATCGAAGCTTCTATTATTACACAGTGACCATTCTTATTTCTAATGACCATTCTTATTTCTGATAATGCCTTTTACCTTAAGGTCTATTTTGTATGATATTAATATAGGACCACCAGCTTTTATTTTTTTTCGGTTCATATTTGCTCAGAAGGAAATATTTTCAAATGGTTTATAGTCACTAATTCCAGGTGATGAGTTGAAAAGTAATTGTTATTTTCTTTATGCTTTTCAGAATTTTCCAAATTTTCTTTAAGAAGAATATACTACTTTTATAATTAGGAAAAAAATTTTTTAAGAGACATGGTCTTGCTCTGTTGCCCAGCCTGGTGTGCAGTGGCATGATCATAGCTCACTGCAGCCTCAAACTCCTGGGCTCAAGTGATCCTTCCACCTGAGCCTCCTGAATAGCTGGGACTACAGATACATGCCACCATACCCAGCTAATTTTTAAATTTTTTTGTAGAAATGGGGTCTTGATATGTTTTCCAGACTGGTCTCCAACTCCTGGCCTCAGTGATCCTTCCTCTTTGGCCTCCCAAAATGCTGGGATTATAGGTGTGAGCCACTGTATCTTCCCTATAATTAGGAAAACTACATTTTAAAAATTTGATTGAAAAAGTGATTAGGAGTCAAAAAGTATTTTCCTTTTTTATCAGGCTTAGTATATTCTGGCCAGTTTCTCAAACAGCTAAACATGCATATAAAGAGTTTATATGTTATGCAAGCAGCTTTTAGCACTGAAACACATATGAGGTCTTTCCTGATAAGAAAGAAAGCCAAATAGAGTAGTATTCTATTCTGCCTACTGGACTATGTATTATCAGGAATGTTGGAATGTGGTGTCTTAACTAATGCTTCCAGGCAGAATTAGTTACCTTCTGGATTTTCACCCCTTTTCTGAGTTCCTGGTTTTCGAGCACTCCTCCCTCTACCTTGTGGGCTTTAAGTTGCTAGGGGACAGGATCTCTCTCTGGGTGGGGCCCAGGCTGTCAGCTAACAAGATCTATCCTACAGGAGGGATGGTATGCAGGAAGCAAGGTCCAGCCTCAGAGCATGGTGGGTGTCTGGGGTTTGAGGGCTGAGCCCAAAAGCTGGACTCAGTATGTTTGGCACTCAGTGTCAGGGCAAAAGGAATGCTGGCCAATGTTGTCAGGTTAAGCCAGTATTTACTAAGTGAAAACATCTTCACAAACACCAATCTTTGTAACAACCCTGTAAAGAATGCATTGTCCCGTGTAGCAAATTGTATGGATTGGCTTGCTCCACCTATCCTAGCCTTTCTGGTATGCCTTCTTGATACATAGAGGCTATACAACTAAAAATGACATTTCCTACATGCCCTTGTAGCTATGATTTTGGATGCAATCTCAGTTTTATCATTTGTACTCTCATGAGACTTGAATTAATAACAGAGTTGAATATAGGAATAGAGATTAGGCATGAGGCATCTATCTTGCTATTTATTATAATAAAGAGAAGACAGAAGTAAGTTGCTCTAGGAGCTGGAATTTGTACCTGGAAACACAGCCTTAGGCCTAGTCATCTAACCCTTCCAATGACTGGGAAAGGTACTCATACTCAGTAATAAAGTCCTTTTTGTTTTAACTAGTTAGAGTGGATTTTGTTATCTGGAGCTGTGATCTGATGAATATACCCATTGTACAGAATAGGAAATTGAGAGTTGGCGATGGAGAGTGACTTGCCCAACATCTCACAGCTAATGAATGTCAGAACTGGACTGTGAGCCTAGGTCCTTCAATGCCAAACAGGGCTTCTTCAGCAGCAGGACAAGTAGCAGATTTAGAGATCAGGCTATGAAAGCCCCCAGGGCCATTGCAATGGTACTAAGAAACCACACATGCAGATCTAAGGTCTTGGTGCATTGATGGTGCTTTGATGACGTTATTGAATAAGGGCTGCTGCTACTCCCCACTAGCATGGGATGGAAGTAGATCGCTCCTCACCCATCCTACTCCCATTATGTTCCATTTTTCTGTGGCCTTTTTGGCCATTCTACTCAATGTATTGCTTGCCCACCTGTATTTCTGTGTTAATATTGAGACTGCACACAGATTTGTCTG